CCCTCATCACCAATTGTCAGGGAATTGTAAATCAAAATGCAATGAGATGTCTTCACCCACCAGGAAGAATAGCATATAGCATATATTAAAAGACTGCAAACAGCCATTGTTAGCAGAGATATGATTAAAAAAAAAAAGGAACTCTCATTCAGTGTGGTTCAGTCTCTACAAAAAACAGCATGGACAGTTTTTTAAAAAGTAAAACTAGAGCTTTTATATGACCTCATAATTCCACGTTTGGGCATCTACCACAAGAATTAAAAAAAAACATGAACTCAAAAAGATATATGTACATCTATGTTCATTACAGAACTAAGTATAATAGCCAGGATATGGAAACCCAAATGTCCATTGACAGGTGAATGAATAAAGAAGTTTTGGTATATATATACATACATATACATATAATGAAATATTATACATCTATAAAAAAGTGAAATTGCTGTTTGGAGAGAAGTGGAGGGTATCATATTAAGTGAAAAAAGGAGTACAAATACTGGATGGTCTCACTCATCTGTGATATACAGAGATATACAAGGAAATAGATGCTATCAAATGATGACAAATCTTTGACCTTTGACTACAAAATTGAGTTTTCAAAGCTGTGGAGTGAATGGAGAAGAAAAAGAGGTGGACTAAAAGTGACTTAAACAGAGTAGTGGAGGGTGTTAGGCACTTTGATGATAGCAAAGGTACAGTAACTGTTTACATCAAAATCATAAACGTGAACACTATTGTAACCATGTTACCTAAACTACAAAAAAAAATCTATTCAATAAATAAATAAATAAATAAATAAATAAAAGGGCCAGAGAGATAGAACAGAGAGTAAGGTATTTGGCTTGCATGCATCAACCCTGGTTGGATCCCTGGTATCCCATACTGCAGTCTGAGTCCTGCCAGGAGTGATCCTTGAGTACAGGGCCAGGAATAAGTCCTGAGTACAGCTAGGAGTACTATCCTCTCAAATAAATACATAAACCCTCTAACAAAAAATAAAATAAAGAAAGAACAGGCTAAAGAATCTCCACATTTGGTATGCCTGATTTTTATCATTGAATTAACTATTTTACATTTATAAGACTTAAATTATCATCAATGAGAGTGTTTTTCTATTTTCAATTTGTTTTTCTAACTTTGTAAAGTAAGTAAATCATAACAAATATCAAAGAGTAAATACTGCTGAAACCAAACTATCAGCTAGCAAGTAGACCATACAATACAGGCAAACTATCCACTTCTTAGCTGATTAAAAAAAAGGGGGGTGGTTAAAACATATGTCATAGCAAACTATGCACAAAGTTCAATCTACATAATTAAATCTTTGTAGCTAAAGACCAGAGTGAATTTGTAGACTAAACATTATCACCTAAAACATTAAAGACATTTTTATGATTTATGTCTTGTGAATTTTCCAACATAATAAAACAAGAGAGCCATATTACTTTAATAGGATACCTCTAAATACAATTTATTTAATCATTGATGAAAAAGAATCTTTTTGGTCTGTGAAAGAGAATGTAAAATTCTAATCTTTTAGGGAAAAAAATATATCCAATTGAGTGCCAAGAGCATGAAATTCCATCAGTGAGGCTCTAGAGTCAATTCCCATAATGAAAGAAAAAAAAAAGGAAAATATGAATGTTAAGAGCACGTATTCAACAATGACCTATTCAAACCTCCAACTGGAAATTTAAAGTATGAAGAACAATTGAAGAGCATTGATTATTTGGATTTAACATTTTTTTAAAGTATATGCTCTTGAAATTTAATTTAAATTTTTAAAAATCAATTTAAAAATAAAATTTTAAAACTTAATTTTTTATTTTAAAAAATAGTTCACAATATTTTATTTCATTTAGTATTCAAACACCAATCCCACCACCATTACGCCTTCCCACCATCATATTTTGAATGTTTCTATCCTGAACCCCAACACCTGACCCAAAGCAGAACCGAAATAATTTACTTTGTATTGTTTGTTATGAAAAACTGCTGAAAATGCTCCAAAAAACGTTTACTTAGAGGAAGACTGTGAAGATTGTTGTATTTCACCCAGGAGCCATTAAGCAATTCTATAAGAGATCACTAACAAGTTGCTAAAGGTTGAGCCTTGTTTGCTTATATATACATATATATTTTACAGATACATATGTGTGTATATATATGTACATGTCTGTATACATATGTGTGTATACGCATATATACACACATGTACATACACTCATATATATGTACCTATAAAAAATGTATATTTCTCTCTAAGATTTGTTGCCTCCTACTTTAAACCCCATCTTTTTTAAAATTTAAAATATTCAGGAGCTAGCTTGATTCTTAGGGGTCATTCCTGGTGGTGCTTGGGGACCATTAGGTACTGGGGATCAAATCCAGGACTTGCATGAAAAGCATGCCTTCTGGCCGCTGTCAAGCTATTTCTCCAGTCTTGCTTTAATTTCTCTTAAGTCATCATAAGTTGTAACTGAGCCAAAATTAAACTGCTAGAAATATATAATACATAAAGTTATTAAGTTTACATGTTGGTAGAAGCAATAGCCTTCAAAGCAAGACAAAAAGAACAGTGCAAAGACCACCAACCTATGGGGCACTCAACCTATCCGCAGAATGGGCCCTCGATGTGCTGGGAGAGACCTACTTGAGTCTTAGACACCTGAAGACCACATAGCCAAAATTTGAATTCAAAGCCATGGCTAAGTCATGAGGTCTGGATCAGATAAACTGAACTCAATTTCTCACTCTCACACTAAACGATAGCAAGATATTTAATTCCTTTTAGTTCCCACCACTATAATTTGAATAAACTACTCACACCTATCTCATGTGGGTTCTGCAAGCTTTAAAAAAGAAAGTGCAAGTATTCTAGCACATGAGTAATAACAATAGTAATAGAAGTATTAATAATACTATCCTGTTAGACCTGAAGACCATCCTAGTTTCTGTCCTCTAGCTCACAGCTGTTCATGAGGGGCTGAGTGTACAGATTCATATTCAAGTCCTTCTCTGATTCAAGCAGAAAAATTCTACTGAATTCTAGGAGTACAGTTAGGAAAATACGCCTTTTTACAAGGCACAGAAAGGAGAATGATCTGGTCCTTCTGCCCACAATCCAGCCACCCATGAAAGTCTTGCTTTCCCTTGCCAAGCTTCCCGCACTCTCCATTCCTCCCACCCAACCATGCAAGGTTTCCATTATAACATAGAAGCACACCAATAAGATGGTTTGTCTTAAAAGCAAACTCGCTTTCATGACAAACTCTTTTACCCTCTTTAAGGGATCAGGCTTGACCCCACAGCCACCTCCAAACTGATACCCAGCAATAGTGAATAAGGCAATTCTCACTTCCGGAGTTGCCTTAAACTGTCAGCACTAAGAGTCCCTTCTGTTTGTGGCACTCCTAACAAAGTGTGCTTGCCTGCCTACAAATTCATCCAAGAGAGCCAAAAACCAAGTACTGAGAAACATTGTGACTTTACAAGGACAAGAGTAGCCATTGGAGAGAAAGTGCCACACCCTTTTCCAGATAGTTCAACAGTGCCAAACATCTCTAAAGGGAGTCTGTGATTTTAGAGCAATCAGTGGGCACGTCTGAGCCCCAACACCCTCACCACCCTACCGCCTTTTCAATCTTTACACAAATTCATTTCATACTTATGTTTAAGCCCATTGCTTCCAGTAGCCCCCCAACCGCTATAATAAAGGGGAAAGGGAGTGGGGACGACCACATGTCAAGCATACTTGCTTCTAGGCCCATTTCCAAAGAGTTCTCTTTCTGCTTGTCTGACGCTCACAGCTGGAACCTCATACCTGGTGGAAATCTATGGTTCCAGCAGAACCACCGATTTAAAAAGCCAACCAGGAAACTAACCATGACAAGTGGGCGCTGCCCGCCTCTCCTGAGCATTGATTGGCTCTTGGGGTACCACCGGTCCCCGTTCTGCCCACATAAGTGGCAGGTGTAACTGTCAATCACACCAGGAACTGACAATTCACCGCTCCCGGAGTAAATTGCTTTTCTTACAGCAAAGGCAGGTAACCGCCTAAAATCGATCCGCTCGTAAGAGCGTGGACCCTCCCTCTCAGGCAAGAACAGAGACCCCCGTAAGTACAAAATTAATAAGGCAGGGCCTATCCGAGAGTTCTATGAGCACTGTTTTATTATCCAGCACCAAAGCAGCCCTTAATCTTCACTGTCCTAAGATGATCTTACAAAGGTTCTGAGAGTAATTTTTTTTAAGATGAAAGGAAAAGAAATGGGGGTAACCCTCTAAGTACCCCTTTTCTCATATAATTCGCGGATAAAGAGGGGGAGGCAGGGACTGTCATTCCGTTTAATTTCACATCGTATTCGTTTTCATACACTACGACCCTCCTCCCCAACCCCTCCCCAATAAATCCGGCTTCATTTTTTCCCTGACAGGAATTAAAGAAAAAGAATATTTTATATATATATATATATATATATATATATATATATAAATCACTCTCCCCTTGGAGCCCACGGAGGCGCCCGGCACCCCACCCCCTGGGCGAGGGCTCCACCTTTCTCCACTTTGTTCTGCATGGGGTTCCCCGAGTACCCCCCCTGCAGCCCCCCGAAGCAAGAGGCGGGAGGAAACAGGCGAAAGAGGGGGAGCCGGGGGTGCAGAGGCGCTGGGCAGCGAGGGTGGCCGCCGGCGAGGGACTGCAGGAGGTGGCCGGGGCGGCCGGGGCGAGCGAGCGGCGCCCGCGCGCTGCTGGAAGCCGTGCACTTGTTCCGATCCGGGGGTTTCTCCACGAAGGCAAATCCGCCCTTAGGCCGCCCCGTCCTTTGCCTCGCCCCAGAAAGCCCCGCCGGAGGCGGATGCTTCGCCCCTCGGCTCCCCCCGATAACGCATTGCAGCTCCCCACGAGCGAGGAGCACCCGGCACGAGGGATGCCTGGGCACCGGCGCCGGGAGGCAGCGGGAGTGCCCGGCGGCTCGGGCCCGCCGTCGGCGTCTCACCTTTGCGATGCTCGCCCCGGGGCCGTCCCACATGGATTTTTACAACCTCGCGTCGCCTTGGCCCCGGGCGGGCGGGCGGCCGAGAGGAGCCGGAGCCGGCGCCGGCGCCGGAGCCCGAGCGAGCCGGAGCGGGAGGCGGAGGCGGAGGAGGCGGAGGAGCCGGGCTGCGAGGGAGGAGGAGGAGGAGAGGAGAAGGAGGAGGAGGAGGAGGAGGAGGAGGAGGAGGAGGAGGCTCGGCTCCCAGCCGGGCCGAGCGCGGGCCGGGCGGGGCTGACGGCCGAGGGGGCGGCGCCCGCCGCAGTCCCGAGACGCGCGCTCGCGCCGCGCCACCGGCAGCCCCGCGCTCCGCCGGCCCCCGCCCCGCGGCTCTGCGCGCTCGGCGCGGCCCTGACTCACATTCCCAGCATTCCCGAGGAGCCGCTGCGGGGGCCGGGGCTGCCTCCCCACCCGGGTGCCTCCGCGGGGGGCAGCCGAGAGCGCCGGGCCGGGCCGGGCGGAGCGCGAGGGTCCTCGAAGCGCCTACTCCAGGGAGCCCCCTCCACCTGCCCCCTACGACCCTTCCTGGGACTCACTTTGCAGAGCCGACAGGCTATCCTGAGACTTGCCCGGGGCTGGGGCGACAGTGGCAGAGATGGTACTTGGTGGAGGGTGCCCAACTGTCTTGCAAGTTGAGTGAGCATCATTTAGAGTGCAGGTCTCCTGGCAATCACCCGTTGGCTTAATCTTTAGGGGGAGTGAAGGGTCTTTATGGGTCTTGCTTTTAAATTGTTGTTGTTGTTGTTGTTGTTCCCCTGGGGGGGGAAGATGAGTATGAAGAACCAAGGAAGCAAGGGGGGAAATATCATCATCATCATCATCATCAATCATCATCATCATCATCATCATCATCATCATCATCATCATCATCATCCCTTGTTTATGGACTGTCCTGCCTCTGCCCTGCAAGGTATACACCTCATCCCATCTGAGGGAGAAAGATGCTGCGTGCGTCCATTCCCACGCGTACTTCAGGGTGCAAAAGGATTTGGACACGTTTCTCGTTGGCAAAAGCTTCCACCCAGTCAGTCAGTAGTCCCCCCAAATCAGTTTCCCTCACTTTCTGCAAGCGAGAGGCCTCAGAAACGGCAAAAGGATGTCCGGATTTGCTTTCTCCCATCAAGGAAATCACATCCATGGAGCGTGATTTCCTTCCCATCACCAGGAGTCGGCTGGCGTCCTGGGGCTGGGAAGTTCACTGAAAGGAATCAGATCCAGACCCTTGGACCGTGTGCTTGAGCAGAGTTCTGCCTGGGGGCTCCTCCACCGCCCCCCCCCCCGCCACGCCCTCCCCCGGACTCAGAGAGTGGAAGGCTTCTCACAGGAGCAAGCCTTCCAGTTTCAACCCAAGGACGCCTGTTCTTCTGTCTTCCTGTACACCTCTGGTGCTAAAGGTTTTGCACAAACACAGTCCCCTGCTGCCTCTTTGTCCTCAGCCTTTTCTTTCCCTCTGTTGCCAAGAGATCAGCATCCTTTTTGTTGACCTGGATGCTCCAGAGATAAAGCCAAGCAATACCTGTTGTGTTGAGTTACCTATGTACAATCTTGACGGTCTGCTGAAAAGATGGTTTTCTGTAAGAAATCCTTGTCAAGAATTCCTAAAACCCCGTATCTTTTGAAATGTGCCAGACAGTGCCTGAGTACAATCTATTTCTATTTCACAGCACTTGGATTTTATCAGCTACTTGAACAAAGGCTCTGTAAGATGTCTGTGTTCCAGGAAGGTCAGGTGAAGTGCCCAGATAAGAGAGTATTTAAATCTATACCTAAGATTCACTATCCTTGACTTTATCCACTTAAACTTCATGGGGACAATTTCTTGTTTGTTTGTTTTGAGGTCATATCCAGCGGTGCTCAGAGCTTCCTCCTGGCAGACTTGAGAAACTATATGAAGTGCCTGGAATGGAACCTAGGTCAGTCACATGCAAGGCAAGCACCCTACCAACTGAACTATCATTTGAGCCCCGCTTATAATACATTTTGTTCTAGAAAGAAGATCTATGATCTTGAACTGACCGTTAAGAATAATCACTTTGTTTTGGAGAACCTCCCCACACACACACACACCAGTGTTCAGGGGATCCAGAGGCTACTCCCTGATATACTCAATCCCTCACCAACTGGAGAGGCTTGGTACATAAGATCTAGAATTCTGTTTAGGACAATTCAATTTTTGGATACTAGCTTAGTACCCACGTTCGCGGTAGCAAGTTGTTAGACATCTGAGTTTTCTAGGTCATTGGGAATCTTGATTCTGCCCATCTGGCTATTTATTATCCTCACTGAAGACTAACTTCCCTGGCACATTTTTCCCCCCACGCTCATAGGTACTCATGGCTTATTCCTGTATCTGTGCTCAGGGATCATTCCTGGCAGTGAAGGAGAATCATACATAGTGCCAGCGACAGATCCTTGGTTGGCTTTGGTATGAGAGTGCCCTACCTGCTGTACTATCTCTCTGGTGTTATATAGCAGTCTTTGGCATCATGACTTTAGGTGCCTTCATTCTGGTTTGGGGTATTATTTGATACCAGCTGAGTGACTCATTCTTATGTCCCAGCTTCTAAATGGGTGAGTGCCTGCAATGCTTCATGATAATCAATCCAGAGGCAGTTGTTCATGAAATATCTCCCCTTCTGTATCAGGTTTGTCCATCATAAGAAGTACTTTAATTGCCCATTTTATTTTCTGACTACCTTAGACATTGCCCAGTACTTAAGAGCAAGGGCTTTGAATTCACAGGAATTATATAGTGTAGCTGCTCAGTAATTGTTGAATAACATTTGAATGAGAGAGTGAGAAAACATAGTTACATATACTATATATGTGTGTGTACACACACATACACACACAATGTGTATTTGTTTTTACGCCACACCTAGTTGTGCTCCGGGACCATATGCAGTGCCAGCTATCTGCAGGCAAGTTCCCTGCCCACTGTATTATCTCTCTAACCTCAAAATGTGTATTATACATGATATACTGGGTAGGTGAGGGCCTGAAATGCTGACTCTGGAGGCAAGCTTCAGACTCTTTTGTTCAGTTTTAAGATTTTTCAGATAAGAATGTAAGTCCCAGAAAAGGTACAGATTTTTAACTAAGACTCTTGGAACTTCCTATTCTTCCAAGTCCCTTTCTATTTAAAGTTCTTAGTCTTGGCTCAGGGAGATGATTCAAGGGTTTGGAACACATGCCAGGCATACGAAAGGCCTTAAATTCCATCCCTGAAAGCATATGACCCAGTACCGCTGGGTTGTAGCAATGTTGCATCTTGTTGAATCGTCCTAAACAGAATTCTAGATTTTATGTACCAAATATCATCATTTATGTAGGTGCTTAACCCCAAACCTAGAAGCATCCTATTCTTTCCTTAATTTATATCAAGGAAACATATACATTCCATCATCCAGTTCTGCCAACTTCAACCAATGCCATACCAGAAGCTAAAGAAAAAGAAGAAGAATGTCCTTTCCTGCATATGTTTCTCAACCAAGCAGAAAAAAACATTCAACAATAAAAAATCACGAATTTAAATATATATGATAAATATATAAATGATAAATTAAAATGACATGATACTATACTTAAAACAGCATGGTAGCAGAACAAAAACAGGAAAATGAGCATCTACACTATATATATTATACGTATATACACACATATACCCACCTTGGGGAGAGGGAGGTGAGTACACTACTGAATGTGTGTGGTTTGGAATCATGTGCATGAAAAAACATCATTAATAGTATTGTAAACCATGGAAACTCAGTCAAATGAAAAGCATACAAAATTAAATAAACTGGGAGTATGAGGAAGAATGACAGATGCAGTCAGTAATCTGGGGTTTGGGCACCTGAATGGATAGTATCATTCATATGAATAGAAATTAATTCATGATAAAAGTTCTCAACAAAATGGAAGTTGAAGGAACTTTCCTCGATATAGACAAAGCCATCTATTATAAGCCCACAGCAAGCATTATCCTCAATGGAGAAAAAACAAAAAAAAACCTTCCCTCTAAGATCAGGCACAAGACAAGGTTGCCAAATCTTACCATTTCTGTTCAATATTGTTCAATATAGTGCTGGAGGTACTTGACATAGCGTTAGTCAAGAAAAATATATCAAAGGTATCCAGATAGTAAAGAAAGCTGTCAAGCTCTCATTATTTGAAAATGACATGATACTATACTTAGAGAATCCTAAAGACTCTACCAATAAACCCCTAGAAGCAATAGATTTATATAGAAGAGTTGCAGGTTGCAAAATCAATATCCAGAAGTCCATGGCTTTCCTATATAGAAATAATGAAAGAGAAAAAGAGAGGTTAAAAAATAATCCCTGGGGCTGGAGAGATAGCACAGCAGGTAGGGCATTTGCCTTGCACGCGGCCAACCCGGGTTCGACTCCCAGCATCCCATATGGTCCCCTGAGCACTGCCAGGAGTAACTCCTAAGTGCAGAGCCAGGAGTAGCCTTTGTGCATCACTGGGTGTGACCCAGAAAGCAAAAAAAAAAAAAAATCACAATCACAATTGTTCCTCAGAAAATCAGGTATCTCAGAATTAGCTTAAGTAACGAGGTAAAGTACCTGTATAAAGAAAACTACAAAACACTACCTCAAGAAATAAAAGAGGACATGAGGAAATGGAGACACATCCCCTGCTAATGGATTGGGAGAATTAACATTGTCAAAATAGCAATACTCCCAAAGCATTATATAGAGTCAATGTGATCTCTATAAGGATACCATAACCATAACTACTTTCAAAAAATAGACCAAGCACTAGTGAAATTTATATGAAACAATAAACCCCTATGAATAGCCAAAGAAATCCTTCGGGAAAAGATGAGAGGCATCACCTTCCCCATCTTTAAACTGTACTACAAAATTAAAACAGCATGGTAGCAGAACAAAAACAGACCTGCAGACCAATGGGAAAAATAATATCCAAGGACAGGATAAATGTAATATTTTGTATGTTATGTAATTCTATGTAATAAATTATTGTGAATCTTATAAAAATAAAATAAATTATTTTTAAATGTGGGGTTTAATACTGTATACATGAAACCGCGCGACATCAGAACATCTTTTATGACATCTTATTATCTCA